ATCTAGAGACCCCTTCCCACCACATTACTTTAATCCTATTTACAGACATGCTGTGAATGTATCTGATAAGTGGCTTCTGAACTCAAATTCCTGGCACTTATTTTGACATGTGGAGCAGAATGGATGAAATCCAGAGGGTCATTCCCACTCCTCCCTCAAAACCAGACCAGTTCTCCAGGTCTCCCGGTAGGATGAGAAGCTACCAAGAGCTGGGCGGTGGTGGCACACGCCTTTAATCCCGGCACTCGGGAGGCAGAGGCAGGCAGATCTCTGTGAGTTTGAGGCCAGCCTAGTCTACCAAGTGAGTTCCAGGAAAGGTGCAAAGCTACACAGAGAAACCCTGTCTCGAAAAACGAAAAAAAAAAAAAAGAAGCTACCAAGAGCATTCTCAATGTAAGCTAGAGTTGTGGGCATAAGGGTAAGCCCCGAGAACATGGAGAAGACAAGGATTAACAGACTGAAACTGACTGATACACATAGAACAGCAGAAATGCATCCTTGAAAATAGCCGAAGATATCTTTACAATAAACTAAAATGTTGTAAAATGACTGTCATTAGTTATTACCTTTAATGCATACTCTCTGCCACTTCCCAGATCTTGAGCTTCATAAACAAATGCGAACCCTCCTGAAAAAAAAAAATGTCAGTCAGTGCTATGACTTAAACTTAAAAATACCTTTACTGAATAAAATACAAACCAAATTTTGGCCATGGATAGTAATTGCTTCCTACAAAAGACTGCAGCCTAATTTCTATGTCATAGCCCTTTAAACCTTCTGCTCAGAGATAGGGAGGGAAAGTGCATTTCAGATCAGCAAATAGAAATAACAGGAAATCTGCAAAACTGAAATCAAGTACCCTGAAAACAAATAAGTAAAAATGATGAATTCAATCTGGGTTAGCAAACATCAAAGAAGGCTAATGCAAATAGAGAAAAATGTTAACACCCAGAGGAAGAAAGTAGATTATGTTGCCCTGACATCCAAAGAGAAAAAAACTGACCAATATCACTCATAAAGATGGATCAAAGAACTCAGTAAGTTTGTGATGTTTTGGTTTTTTAAAACAGGGTCTTGCTATGTTGGCTCTGAATTTACATTCTCTCCCTCAGCCTCCCCAATGCTTCATTTCAACAGACAGTCCCATCATAAAATTTAAAACTGTCAGCAAACCAGGACTAGAAAGAAACTTCCTCATCTTATAAAAAGAATCCCAAAGGACCAATAGCAGCAGTGTTAGTGGTAAAATGAGAACAGGAAGAAGGTCAAGGTGCATATTCACATCACTGATACTCAATACTATACAAGAGCCTTTTGCCAACGCAATCAGACAAGAAAAAGAAAATCAAAGGCATCCAGATCACAAAAGAAGTAAAGATATATTTTTATTTGCAGATTAAAGTAATCTTCCAAGTAGCAAATCTGGTAAAATCTCAAAAAGGAAAGAACAGAGAGCAAAGAGAGGAGGACGGAAGGGAAGAGAAGAAAACAGAAGAAAAAAGGCAGACTGGCAAGATGGCTCAGTAGATAAAGGAACTTCCCACCAAGCCTGACAACCCAAGCTCAGTTCCCAGAATCTGCATTGTGGAAAGAGAGAAGTGATTGCTGCAAGTCATTTCTCTGACATCCCTCTACCCTCCCCGCAAGAAAGAAAGAAAGAAAGAAGGAATGGAGATACAAATGAACTATAACTAATTTAGGAAAGCTATAGGATACAAAAATCAGAGGCTGGAGAGATGGCTCAGCAGTTAAAAGCACTCTTGCTCTTGCAGAGGACCCAAGTTTGGTTCCAAGCAGCCACATGGGTGGTCATAACCTTCCTTAATTCCAGTTCCTGGGGACTGGATGCCCTCTTCTGACCTCCACAGGTACCATGGATGCACACAGTGCATACATACAGGCACAGTCATACACATAAAATAAGACTTAGAACAAATTCCAAAATGAGTAGAAAGCTATCTGGCTTTATGGTTCTGCCTAACAACCTATTTCATACTCCAGCATTAATAAAAACTATGACAACAAAGCATGGTGTCCCATAAACACCTCTGTGAAAAAACCTGATATAAACTGATAGGAGAAATTTGCCTACAATGAGAATATTTATTCATTTACTTAGATACATAGCAATATATTTGACTATAGAAATTTTTCTCAACCCCTCTGGGAGCATCCCATGATATAAGGTCATGCCCTGAGTCATCTTTCTGAACTTGAAGAATTGTGAAGCTAAGAGCCTTCCTTATATTCTTATAAGACAGCTTGAATCCCAGTGGCCCATGGTCTACAGCTGCTGTTCAGGAAACTCGTTTAAATCTATATAAAATACTACAGATTTCTTACTGTCTCAATTCAGGAAAAAACTTAAAATACCACATTAAGTCTAAAAGGAAGACATCTATGGCTTATAATTGCATTGGTTATTTTTATTCCTGTCTGGCCAGAGAGCAGACAGAATGAGCTGCTCTGTATAGACAGTAGCTGCCCACACTTCCTGGTTTTTCATCCTGGGTTCTTTGTGGCCTGGGTAAGCTTCTTACTTTACACAAATCTCCCTCTCCTGACAGTCAGGACCACCTCCCACCAGAGACTGCCTCTTGCCCTCACCCCCGACAGGTACAACCTACAGCTGTCTTCTGCTGGCCCTTTCTATAGAGGCAGTCTTCCCAGCCACCCTAGAATTCACATTGTTTATTGTACTGCCCCATCCCGAGTTGCCTCTTCCTTCTAGTATCTGAACATAAGTCTTATTTTGCATTCCATATGAAAAGAAACCAGGTCTGCCTCTTCTCTTCCTCTCTCCCTTCTCACTTTATAGACTGAATCCAGGGCCTCATACATGTTAAGCAAGAGCTATATCACTACGATATATCCCCTGCCCTTTTCACTTTTTGAGACATCATCTTACAAACTTGCCCAGGTTGGTCTTGAATTCAACCTGTAGCTCAGGCAGACCCTGAAGTTGGAATTTTTCTGCCTCAGACTCCCAAGACACTAGGATTATAGGCCTGTGACATCACTCCAGGGCTGAATTTCTTAAAAAATGAAGGTAATCGCCTGGTATTTTTCAGAATGAACAAACCGATCTGGTATCATTGTCATTGCAACATCACATATCATACACACTGTTAGTGGAGGTACTAAATCCATCTCTGAAGGGAAAAGTGCCAGAGGTCTTCTCACCAAATATCACATCCAAATCTGTTTATATCCACAGTGGAGAATATATGTGACAAAGCTTCTGTCTGCCCTACCATAGTAAAGAACGTTGGACAAGTTCCCTGCCCCCATTAAGCACAAATGGCATGGACAACCTCAGCAGGATGATTCTCCAATTCTGAGAGCTACTTCAGACTTGGGTCAGGCCACTCTTCTCCCTGAACCAGTTTGGCAGAACATAACTATGTTTAGCAGGCAAATGTCACAGCTGTTGAGACCTGGCACACTCCATGGTAATAATGGGGAAAAAAAGGCACAGTGGCTGAAGGAATGGCTCAGAAGTGAAGAGTATTTGTTGCTCTTGTAGAAGAGAGGAGCAGCATTAGATTCCCAGCACCCACATGGAGGTTAACAACTGTCTATCCAGTTCAAAGAGATCCAAAGCCCTCTTCTGGCCTCAGCAGGCAACACATACAGATGATGCCCAGAAATACAGGCAGGCACCCATGCACATTAAAAAAAAAAAAAAAAAAAAAAAAGAGGAGGAGAAATCATAGAAGAGAGAACAGGATTCCACAATATTGATTACAGATCCTGTGTGAGGAACAGAGAGGATGTTCAGGAAACTACAAACTAGAGTGACTTCAAGACACATGACTGTGGCATTGTCTATCAAGCAAGTTCTTAAAGGTTACAGCTACTGGCTTTGCTTCCTGTAACTTATAAGAAGTCACATACAGAAAGATTCAAGAGGAGAGGCAAACACTAGGGCTATAAGAGAAAACGAGACTATAAGGCCCCGCAGTCTATCCTCTCCCTCACCAAGTGGGGGAATTGCTATGGACTGTAGAGTTCCCCAGAACTCAGGAGCACAAGCACTGCCATCTCAAGACAGTTCCCTTGGTGGAAAAGCAACCCTATGATACAAAGAATAATAGCTTATGACCCCAGAGTGAGTGGACTCACCACTTGACTCGACCTTTCAAACTTTTTTATAAGCCCCAGTCACAGCATTGGCCCCAGACAGAGGTGGTCCCTCCAGTCCCAGGCCTCCTTTACTGGACAACCACCTGCTAGCATGACCCTTGTACTAACTCTACCCTCCAGGAAGTGTTTAACCCAGACGCGGCCTACCTTCAGTAATCACCTCCGAAGGCCCTAACCCACAGGCCCCTGTGGTCACTCTGCCTTGCCAGGTCCCACCCCCACCTGACTCACACCCCAGCAGTGTCGCTCCACAGCGATGACCCGATCCACATTCTAGAGTGACTATTCCCACTGACCCTGCCCACAGAGATGACTCTCCGCGGCCCTGAAATGACCCACACCGTAGTAATGATTCTCCGGGGCCCAGACTTGATTCATACCCTGGACACGATCCATCCAGCTGCCCCTGCCCAAAGCGGTGACCCTCATGCGCTCTGACTTGAACCACACCCCAGCAGCGACCCTCCCTGGCTGCTCCTGCCTCCCGCGGCCTGGCGACGCCTTACACCTCACCTTCTGCTAGGACCCGCCGCACCCGCAGACGCAGCTCGCCCAGTTCCACCGTCTGCCCCACGAAGTCACTCTGGTCACGGCTAGCAGCTCCGCCAAGAGAACCAGGGCCCGCCAGGAAGTCCAGCGCAGACTGCAGCAGTGACATGGCGACGGCCGCTCAGCGGCAGCGGGAGCCAGGCTCCGGCTCCGCACTGCCGGGTCAGCAGCTGCTAGAGAACAACCCGGCCATCTTCCGCCCGCGCCGTGACGTAAACCCGAGAGCAGGTTACGTCGCGACGCCGCGGCCCCGCCCCGACGCAGCAAGCGGAAGGGCGCGTGTTTCCGCAGAGCCAGCCGGATGCGCAGGCGCAGAGGCTGCAGCCCCCATGGGTGGCAAGCTTCTGAGAGGTGCAGAGAGGGCTGGTCGCTATCTGGCCCTAACCTCGTCCGGTCGCTTCTGCTGGCCCGAGTTACGACTGCTTTCGCCGGGTCCAGCCTCGGTGGCTGGGGCGTCGCGGGACGTTGGGCGCGTGCTGCGGACCGCCCCAGAGCCCGCCGCTCGCGCCTGACGCCTCAAGGTAAAAGCGAGGCCTGGAGCCCACCCTAGGGTCCCGTAATGCCCGTTTGGGGAGAGGAGGTTGTCTATCGGACAAGCAGCCAGCCTATGATCCACAGACACGCGTTCTTATGTTTTGGCCCACATAGGTATGGGGGAGGATGAACTAGTTGCTAACATTAAGACTGAAAAACGTTAAGTTTAAAAGAAAAAAAAGCTTCACAACGTGTGTAGAAAAGGCACCTGGCAGTACTGGACCCAGAATCCTGTGTGATGTCAACCACCTAGAGCTGCCCACTTTAGGTGAGACAAAGTCATGGGGTTCCCACCCATCTTCTTACCTCTGTGGTTCCTGAAGCCACATGAGGTTGCAGCCCCTTGTGTAGAGTATGTGTTTTGGGACTAAAAAGTTGATCTTCAAGCTCAAATCAACATCTTAATCTTCCCAGAATTGTATGCTATTAAAGATGCCTTTGGAAACTACCTCCTCTAAAAGTCAAGTAGAAAAGAAATGAAAGATGATCATTAGCCATAGTGAGGTAGGTAGTAGGTGAGCAGCAGTTTCATGGATCACACGTGGAGGAATAAAGTGATGAAGTAGAGATGGTACCTGCAGGTAACTGAGGAGGTTTATAGAGAAGAATGTGGGAGCTAAAAGGGCAGTGTGGTACTGACATGTTCTTAGATGGGAGCCATGAGCAGCCCAAAGAGAGTTAACCAGTGAGAGTTAACCCTTCCTGGTATAGTAGAGAAGAGTACTGCCCCTTAGAATAGCAGGACAGTCAAGTCTATACCACTCGAGCATATTCCCAAGGAATGCTCAATCATACCACAAGGGCACATGCTCAGCTATGTTCATAGCAGCTTTATTTGTGATAGCCAGAACCTGGAAACAACCTAGATGCCCTTCAACAGAAGAATGGATAATTTCTCATATTTTATAGATTATTTTTTATTTTTTTTTGAATCACAAAAGGTATTGTTGATGAAGCTCAACTTTAGTATTTATTTTTGCTTATGCTTTTTTTTCTTCTATAGATAGGGTCTCTCTACATAGCCCAGGCTTTCCTGGAACTCACTATATAGAACAAGCTGGCCTAAAACTTGAAGAGATCTGCCTGTGTCTTGTCTCCCAAGGGACTAAAGGTGTAGTCCATCATGCCCAGATTGTTGCTTATGCTTTTTAGTGCCATCTTTAGAAATCTTTGGCTGTAGCGATTTCCCCAAAACTTTCTTCTAAAAGTTTAATAGTTTTAGCTGTTAAATTTAAATTTTTGCTCCATTTGAATTGATTTTGTTGTGGTTCTTTGGCATGTGGAAATTCAGTTGTCCTATACTATTCGTTGAAAAGACCATTCTTTTCCCTATTAAATAATTTCTACTCCCTTGTCAAGAATCAAAAATCAGTTAACCGTAGATGTTTGATTTTATTTCTGAACTTAGTATCTCTGTGCCAGCACTAGGAAAACATGAGTCTTTTTCTGCTTGTCAGTGGATGAGCCAATAGAGGAACCTTTACCACAGTGGAAGTCTGACAGCAGTAAAAAGAAGTGTGTCGTGATGTTCTCAGGAACATTGGTCAATCTCAGGTAGCAGAAGCCATACTAAAAAGGTCACATAGTATATGCCTCAAGCACAAGACATTCTGGAAATGGCAAAGTAGCAGTAAATAGCAGAAGCACTAACATCTGTCACACCAGCATCTGCCAAGTGCTAAGGTCTAGGCATGGAAAGCTTAGAGGGGCTAACTGAGGATGGAGTACCTTTCAGTCTTTATGAGTATGGATGTATGCATGCAGAGCCCACAGAGGCCAGAAGAGAGCATCAGAACTCCTGGTACCAGTTACAGATGGTTGTGAACTGCCATGTGGGGGCTGGGATTTGAGCCCTTGTTATCTGAAAGAATAGCTAATGCTTTTCAACCACTGAGCCATCTCTCTAATCCTTCAGTCTTGATGGTTGTGGTAACACAACTGTGTATTCCTCAGCAACTCAAGAGAACTGCACAGCACAGGCATGGTTTGACTTCATAATCTAAAGCACTGATTTTCAACCTGTGGGTTGTGACCCCTTGGGGATTGTCGAACTACCCTTTCACAGGGGTCACCTAATACCATCGGAAAAATGCAAGTATTTACATTATGATTCGTAATAATAGCAAAATTACAGTTATGAAGTTACAGTGAAAATAATTTTATGGTTGGGGGCCATTGTAATATGATGAACTATATTAAAGAATCGTAGCATTAGGAAGGTTGAGAACCACTGATTTAAAGAGTGAGCCTTAAAGGGATACAACAAAAAGCCATGTTGCTACCCAATGCCTGCCCTTGCCATCCAGGTAACCACCTGCTTATCCTGGAGCTAATAAATCTGTTCTTTGTGTTTTGTTTGTCATATTTTCATTGTCATGAACAAGGAAGATGACATAGAACTTAGCTTTTTTGCAACTGCTTTTTTTTTCCTTCTCAGTACTGTGTTTTAATTTTATCTCTGGATTCATATGTAGGGTCCTCACAACATTAATGGCTTAATAATAACACCTATTTTTTACTTTTTTGTTGTGACAAACCTTGCTTCCGTGCAGATTCATCTGTGTCCCCTCAGATTCAGCTCCTCCCCTGTAAGGGTGTTTACTACACCTCTAGAGTTGTTACTGACTGCCAGTTCAAATATGGCTCTTGTGGCTCCCTAATATATCCAAGTATCCTCCTCACATCCTAGCTAGCTCTTGACTGGGGAGCTTTACCATTGTAATTGATACCTAATTGCTTTCAGTTGTGTTTGATTACTAGTAAAGAGTTTTGTTTTTTTTTTCTTTCTTTTGCAGTGCTGGGGATCCTATGTGTAAGGCAGGCTGTCTCCCACTGAGCTGTACGCAGCCTGAATGCCTTATAGATATTTATTTGCAACTTATTTTTTTCCTATCTGAAAATTGCTAGTTGCCTTTTGTCCCCCTCCCCCTTTTTTATGTATCATCTTGGTGAATGCTTGTGCTTGATTGCTAGAGCAGCATGCCACATCACCCCCTTGCCTCTGATTATGTGGTACCTGATGTTAGGTTAACAGCATCCTCTTCAGAGTACACCCAGTCAGTCATACTTTATGATAACCTTGTTTCATTACTAAAGGGCTTGTGCTTATGACCACCCTTCCTAAAGCTTCACCCTTCAAGTATCCTGGCTCCTACTTTCCCATCCTCCCAGAGAGTACCACTACTTTCTACTCTGACTATTTTACCTTTCAACCTCATTTCCCCTAACTGTGCTGGTGACTCCATAGTCTCATCTCCTTTACAGCTTCCTTTCTCACCTCTGCTGCCTGAGGCTGTCCTTCCCATGTCTTTGTAAATGTGTCCCAAAGCAGGGTACATTTATGTTGTTGCACTGGTTGGCTTGCCCTCCTGGACCCAAGCATTAACTTTCCTTTTACAGTCTCAGGACCTGCTTTTGCTTTTCCAGGAACACTTCTATACCCTGCTTGGGCATACTCCACCTTACCCCCACCCCCCCTTGACAGCTTCATCCTTCTGATCATCCTTGCCACATTCCTGTCCTCTCTCCCATGATTGCAAGTGGGGACTTGGAAAATACTTCCCAGTGGCCCACCCTTCCATATCCTGTAGCTGCTGAGTGGTTCTTAGTTTTTCTATCCCTGGGTCCGGTGTAGCATACAGGTGGATTTCAAGGCTGTACTTCAGGAACCCTTTGCTCCTGGGACACAAATATTTCTCCTCCCCAGAGAATGTTTCAGCTGGCATCTCAATTGTCTACCCAGAATTGTTTCTGAAAAACTTAAAAACATCCCAGACCCTGTGAGCTAAGGTAGTAATAGCCCTCAGGGACATTACCTTTAGCCAGGAGATGTGCTCAAGCCTGACAAAGCAGCTTGTAGGGGAAATTTGGGGTTAGATTTCAGGCCTTCCTTGGTACCATGGTATACTGAGCATCTACCCTGTATCATCAGTGCTTTCCCACTGAGACAGAATATATCACCCCAGTCACAGAGCTCACTAATGAGTGTGATGGTAATACTCTTGGCCTGTGGCTGGAAATCTGAAGGAACTACCTTGTGAAGTGTCTCTTTCTTTGTCTCCATACCTAGCCCATGTCTCTACATTGAAATGGCTGAAGTCCACAGGGTTGGCCACCTGATCCCACTGATATGCTCAGAGCTACGCTTATTCCCAGGCTGCTGTGACAACTCGGTGGCCCCACCATGTCCAGGCCCCAGGCCCAGGAGCAGGCAGTGGATTCTGAGGGAGACTCATCCCTATACAGGAGAGACGAGGAGGGGACCCAGAGCTCCCACCGCATGCTGGGCTTCAGTGATGCACTGCTATCCATCATCGCCACTGTCATGGTCAGTGTTGGGCCCACTGTGTCAAACCCACCCCTGGTTTCTGCAGCAGCGTCAGATGCCCAAGCCTTTCATGAAGGTGGGGCTGCCCAGCAATAGTCAAAAGCCCATAAACCTCTGAGTAGCTGAAGAAGTATCTCTTGGTGATTTTTGTCTTTGTTTCTTTAGATCCTGCCTGTGACCCACACAGAGATCTCACCAGAACAGGTAACAGGAGCAGACTGGTTTGTACAGTGGGCCAATAAGAAAACCCAACCTGGACTTGGGGAGGCAACCCCCAGATCTGCAGGCAGCAGAGCCCAAGGCAGGGTATTTATTGAGAGGGCAGGACATCTGTGTTTCCTCCTGGCAGGATATGCACTTAGAGTAGGTGGGGATGGGGTGGGGGTGGGCTGAAGCACAGGCTTCTGCAAGGGAGACTTTATTTCTAGCTAGGTGGACAGGTAGTGATATCCTCCACTGAGAGGAAAGGAAGCATGTCTACCCAACCAAACCATCCTGTGTGGGTAGCAAAGAGCTTTTTAAAAGCATTTTCATTTATATCCAATTTTATGGGATTTTTTTTTTTCCTGAGTCAACAACATGTAGTTCTTTAGTGAAGCAACTTTGATACTTGGACAGCACTGAGGTGCCTTTCTTGGTTTCATCCATGTGATTGGCATGCCACCATACAAGCCTCAAGGAAACAGGTTGTAGCTTTACCCAGCACAACAGTTAGGTGTGATTCTAGCCATACCCGCAAGCTGAGGTAGATCTTTGGGGAGGTCCCAGAACTACTGAGGTTTTTCTTTCGAACTATAGTTACAACACTGGTATAGTGTTGTGATAAAAATTAAACTTTCAGAAACTTGAGCATCAGACTACACTTGTGCTGTGCTTAAAGCTGTTCTGATGAGAAAGTACCTGCTAGTGGCTGGTCTACATGGCATCCCCAGGCTAGGCAAGGCTATATAGTGAGAACCTGTCTCAAAAAACCTAAATAAAATTAAAAAGCATAGTGAGCAGATATGGCTTAGTGGTAGAATGTTTGCCTAGCCTACATGAATGAAGCTGTAGTTTTAATCCCTGGTACTGAAATTTTACATTTTATTTTATTTTTTATTTATTTATTTATTTATTTTGAGACAGAGTTTCTCTGGGTAGCCTTGGCTGTCCTGGACTTGCTCTGTAGACCAGGCTGGCCTCAAACTCAGAGATCCTCCTG